TATATATATACATTGTGACTGTTTTCAATCAATTATAAGTTATAAATTCAAAGGAATTTAATTCCATTCATTCCAATAGAATTAATATGGGTAATTCTCAGAGCATATGTTCTTATGAAATACACACAGTACAATGATATATTTAATTAAAATTTCTCATCAACACTGAAAACATAAGTATTTTGCATATTTTGCTTTTGTGTGTGTGTGTGTGTGTGTGGTTCATGTGTAGTTAAATAATTTCTCATTTTGTATTTAATAAAAAAAAGAGTAAATGCAGTAATAGCATGGTATTAATATGTTAATAAGATGTAACAGTCAAAACTGTTTTTTTTTCACTTTCACTCATTAATTTGAAGTCATTGATCAGATGATCAGAGAATATGGTTTTAGTTGAAAAAAAAAAAACATTAAGGACTGTTTTATAAAATAATGATTTTTCAGATATCAACAGACCTAGAATGTGAAAACTGTATACAGGTTTAGAAGGCATTATGAGGGTTAATTCATCATTTCCTTTCAAAGTGCAACATACAAAACAAATGGCATGTTAATCCACTGGGACATGTGGAATTTTCATTCTGTCAACATATAAAACAAGTGCAACTGAAGTAACTCACCCATGATGGAGACATCGTACTCGATCTGGAACAGGGCCTCCTGGCCACATTGAGTCAGTACTGTAAGAGCATCGCTTAGAGTGGCACTGTGTAAAACCACACCATCCACACTTAAGATCCGATCGCCTGCTTTTAGGGTCCCTTCCCTGCACAAGAACACATGCGGAACAGTCCCATTTTATTGTCAATGAAATGTATAATGTACAATACCGTTCAATAGTTTGGGGTCAGTAAGATTTATGTTTTTATTCAGAAATGATTCATTAAATTGATCAAAAGTGACCGTAAAGACAACATTTTCTATTCATCAAAGAATCCTGAAAAGTATTTTAGTTTCCACAAAAAATATTAAACTGAACAGCTGTTTTCTACTGTGATAATAAGAAATGTTTCTTTAATAACAGTTCCTAAAATTCAGCTTTTCCATCATAGGAATAAATTACTTTTTAAAATATTTAAATTTATTTATATTTCAAAAATTTCAACTTCGTTCAAAAACATTTTTAAAAATCTTAAACCTTTTATTTTTTCAAAATTTTCTATATAAATGTGACATATAAATCACATCTAAATCGAGTATGAATTGGAAAACCACACTTTTCATCACAAAATTACATATATATTTTCAATAGAATTTACACTACCATTTCAGTAACATTTTACAATAAGGTCTCATTTGTTAGAATTAGATAATCCTTTAACAAACATGAACTAACTAACTAATGAGCAATACATTTTTACAGTATTTATTACCCTTTGTTAATGTAAGTAAAAATGTTAAAGCTAGTTTACATTGCACTAACGTATGTTAAAATTACAACTTTTTAACTTAAACGTTTTAGCAAATGTAAAATGTAAACATTATTATTAATAAATGTATTTTAGATACAGATTTAGTATTTTGATAGTACATTGTTAGTTCATGTTAACTAAGCAGTTAACTAATTTTAACAAATTAAACTTTTTTTGTAAAATGTTACCTTTTTATAGAGTAACTTTGTAAATAATTTTGAATTAATATATTTAAGCTTTCAAAATATGTTTGTGCATTTAGTCCACTACATTAAACAACAATCTCATTTCATCCATCATACTGGATAAATTTTTGGTATTTTTTAAGGCAACATGGTTGATGCCTTAATATTCTGCCTAGGTAGTCAGCTTCTTTTAAATACTCTTGATATTCCACACTAATGATTCATGTTACATGTAAGAGGACCTGTTTGAGAGCACTATATTTTCTTCATGAAACATCTGGGGGCCTTTAGGAAAGACAATGTATACAATTTCCACCCATCAATCAAGGCATCCTTTGTCTCTAACATCAAAGGGGTTTTATTGAAGATGTTCTCTCTCCAGACACATATGTTTATTTATTTTTCTCTTTTGGCAGGTTGTGTGATGCTGATATAAGTAGGGAAAAGTGGTTGGTAAGAGAGGCACGGAGAATCCTAAAACCAAGAATAATAGCTAGCCATCTAAGCTGAGAGGGAAATCTCTGGCCTACTTTCTGGATTTGGATAAAATGCAAATAGTGTGTTCTTGATGCTCCAAACATGGAAGATGACTGCAACAAGAACTGTGTTCCTTATACATGTTGTTTGTTAAAAGCAGAGTTTAACACCAACAAAATGAGGTTAAGTTTTCGGTAAGCATGCTAATCAATTAGCCAGCTAAGCTAACATTATGTCCTCCATTCCCTGCAGTTGGCATGCTAATCAATTAGCATACTAAGATAACATATCCACTGCAAGTTATTTGGCAAATAAGTTTTAAAAGCTAATTTATTCTACATCAGACGGGTAGCCCCTCGTGATGGTGGCCATTTTGAGATCACATGACCTGCCGAATACTACTCAATTTATCTTGTTGACTCCTCTATTAGTGGACACTTTTGATGATTAAATAAATCACTGACAACAAGTCATTGTACAAAATGGCATCAGTGACAAAAAAAAAGTTTTTGCAGAAACTTAAAATGCTTCATTTTGAGTTATGCATTACCTGTCAGCAGGACCACCAGGTCGGACGTGTGTGACCACCAAAGGACGAGATCTGTGCCAGTCCTCATGGGATCCACCTGTATTATAACACATGCAAAATGCTGTAGTCTGTAGTTAAATCTGCAACCATTTGATTTTAGGAATATTGCAAAAACGAATAAAATAAAATGAGTGGCAACAAACCCAAACTCACCTCGCATAACAAAGCCGAAACTGTTGCCCTCTTTCTGCAAACAGATCTCGATTGTCTTGGAAATAACACCTGAGGTACTGTCTGGCGCTAAGAGGGACAACAGAGACAGGAGAGAGGCAATAGCATCTCTAAATCAGCACCTTTTACTGGGCGAATGGCCAGTTCTGGTGGACAATCAGATAAATAAACCCAGATGCAAACTGACATTCAGCAGAAGGTCAGCCAGAAACACTGAGCTTATAAACCAGACAATTTATCTGCCATGCACAAGATAGACTGGCTAACGATTGCAATATATCACAAAGCATGCCAAACTGAGCCAATGAGAGACAATCACCTCGATCCATTATAATCAGAGAGTGTGGATGTGCAAATTTAAGTCTTGATATATTAACTAGTGATCAATAATATATTTTTTAATTTTTTAATTGGTCAATGGCAATGTGATATCTAGAAATGGTTGGAAAATGTTCAACACATTTTGTAAAATGTATTCAAAAACAAACAAAAAAATGCTTATTATTCATTTACAAGGTTTAAAATTTTGTATGATTTCATACAAGCTTTGAAGGTTACCAGCCGGTAAACTGACAACAATCTCCAACTGACCAAACATCTGCCAATAATTCAGCCTGGGGTTTCCCAAAAGCACTGTTAGCCAACTTTGGTCAAAAGTTTGGTTGTTATCCATTATAGTTCCATAATTTGCTATTTCCCAAAATCATAGTTCTAACAAACAGTCGCAAAAAACATCGCAAAGCTGTGTGGTTGGAACTAGCTACAGCTCTTGACCTCTGGTTGGAAGCATATTTTCTTGTTAGTATTAGCTAACTATGGTCACAACTTCCATCATTACTACCATACTAAATTATTCTGTGTTACAAAAACCATAGTTCCAATGAACACTCGCAAACAATGTCGCAAAGCTGTGTTGTTGGAGCTACAGCTCTATTAGTATATAATCGCAAATTCAGTAGTTTCCAACATATTTCTATAATTTGCTGTTTCAGAGGCCATAGTTCCAACGAACATTCGTAAACAGCATTGTAAAGTTGTGTGGTTGGAACTAGAGCTCTCGTCCTGTTATTGCAAGCATAGTTTCTTGTTGGTATTGGCTAACTATAATCGCAAATTTGGTTGTTACCAACATAGTTCTACAATTTGGTGTTTCAGAAATCATAGCTCTAAAGAAAATTCGCAAACAGCATCACAAAGCTTTGTGGTTGGAACTACGTCTCGACCTGTGGTTATAAGCAGAGTTTCTTGTTAGTATTAGCTAACAATGGACACAAATTCGGACATTACCAACATAGTTGTACAATTTGCTGTTTTCCGTAATCATAGTTCCAGCAAACATTCATAAAGAGCATCGTAAAGTTGTGTGGTTGGAACTAGAGCTCTCGCCCTGTTATTGGAAGCATAGTTTCTTGTTGGTATTGGCTAACAACGATTGCAAATTTGGTCATTACCAACATAGCTCTATGATTTGCTGTTTCTCGAAATCATAGCTCCAAAGAACATTCACAAACAGCATCGAAAACTTTGAGGTTGGAACTACAGCTCTCGACCTGTGGTTAGAAGCAGAGTTTCTTGTTAGTATTAGCTAACTATGGTCACAAATTTGGTCATTACCAACATAGTTTTATGATTTGCTGTTTCCCGAAATCATAGTTACAACAAACATTTGTAAACAGCATCGTAAATGTGTGTGTTTGAAACTACAGCTCTCGTACTGTTATTAGAAGCACAGTTTCTTGTTAGTATTAGCTAACTATAATCGCAAATTTGGTTGTTACTAACATAGTTCTACAATTTGGTGTTTCAGAAATCATAGCTCTAAAGAAAATTCGCAAACAGCATCACAAAGCTTTGTGGTTGGAACTACGTCTCGACCTGTGGTTATAAGCAGAGCTTCTTGTTAGTATTAGCTAACAATGGACACAAATTCGGACGTTACCAACATAGTTGTACAATTTGCTGTTTTTCGTAATCATAGTTCCAGCAAACATTCGTAAACAGCATCGTAAAGTTGTGTGGTTGGAGCTACAGCTCTCAACCTGTGGTTAGAAGCAGAGTTTCTCGTTAGTATTAGCTAACTACAGTCACAAATTTGGACATTACCAACATAGTTCTACAAATTGCTATTTTTCAAAATCATAGACGCAACATTGACATTCGAAAACTTGTATGGTTAGCTCTTGACCTGTGTTTAGAAGCATAGTTTTTTGTTATTATTAGCCAACTATGGCCGCAAATGTCGTTGTTACCTACATAGTTCAACAATTCTGTTTCCCAAAATTAACAGTTTCAACAAACATGCACAAAGTTGTTTGGATTGAACTACAATTCTCGAACTGTGGTTAGAAGCAAAGTTTCTTGTTAGTATTAGCCAACTATGGTTGCAAGTTACATCATTACCAACATAGTATAAATATTTGGTGTTCCAAATAACATTCGCAAACAAGCTGTGTGACTGAAACAACAGCTCTTGACCTGTGGTTAGAATCATAGTTTCTAGTTAGTACGACATGTGGACAATAGATGTGCCACAAAGATACTATGGTTTTGGAAAACAAATGCGACTAGCTAGTTAATTCCACAGTTACCAATAGAGTTCAATTAGAATTGCGACCAGTTAGCTAACAATACTTTTAGGAAACACACCCCATAGTAGTTAAGCAGCAAATTACTTATGAGAACGCGAAACACATCGCTGGGCAAAATATCCCTCCATCGCTGATATCATGGTATTGCATTCATCAAAACTATTGTATGAGGTTTTTAAGGATCACATGTTGGTAAATTGGTAAAGCTAATGTTTCTATGTCTGCCACTCAAACCAAGAGTAATACTTTAACAACTTTGCAAAATAACCGACTGGCTTACTTATAGATGTCTCTGTCGAGAAAGTATTTTAACATCCAAAAATGATTCACGGCAGCTTTCAACATGCAGCCATGCATTCTCCATTACTGTGTATAATTGTATATACACAAACTGAAGTGGACTTACTGACGCAAAGACATTTTCACGATGATATTCACTCATGAGGTCTGAGATCGGCTCAGACCGGGGTTACATTGACAGGAACATGCCACAAGACAGGCAAAAGTCAGAATACTCAACTTCCTACCAGGTGAAGGCAGTTCATACTCCACTTCCAGCACGACGCGCTCGCCTACGTTTTTTAGCAGACTGATGATCTCGTCGTGACGCAGCTTGGTCAGGTTGATCCCATTGACTGACTTGATGTAGTCGCCTACATTGAGCTGATCGCTCCTGAGACACATTGAAATGTAACTCAATCATTTAATTACTGAAATTAGAGTAATTAAACAGTTTAGCTAATATCTGGCACACTATTTTTGTTGAACAATGTAAAAGTTGGCTTTTCCAATGTTTAATGAAATTAGCTTTGTAAGCATTCAACATTTAATGTAGAGAAATTAACAAGATAACATATGAAGGTCCAGAGAAGATTTCCGTCAATGGTCAAAAACATAGAAAACAATTATATTTTGAATGGAAAGTAAATGCAAAGTGAGAACTCCTTATCTGTTGTTGAACACCCCACAGGGAGTATAAATATGCTTATTTAGATGCTAATTAGACAAATGAATGCTATTCATTCCCTTTTGCCCTCTGGGTGTACATGAGCCAGCACAATGATGCCTGACAAAAATATGTCATCAGCCCAGATGTGCTCCATAACATCCTCATACCAGCCACAAGGAAAGAAGAAACAACTGAAGATGGGAAAACTTTCACATCACAGAAATGAGTTTAATCAAAAGTGAGTATGAGGAAAAAGAAACAGTTTTCAGATAACAATTTATCAGATTTCTAAGGCTCACAACTTACTGTACCTACGAACAGGGTTTTATGCACTGTTGCATTCCAGAATGTCATAATGCAACAAAATGTGTTGCATTAATTAGCTGTTTCTACGGTGAATTTTTTTTTGTGTTTTTTTTTCTGGTCAACTACTGTAAAGGCAGTACAGCAAACTCTTGCTGAATCTTACCTGTTGATCATGATCTTGCTTGCTAAAGCTAGTTAAATTGCTGTTATGTTCAGCTTATATCTAGCTATCCTGTATAATAGCACAGTTTAATAGTTAATCCTGTTTAATAACACAAATACTTCAAGGTAATTCTATTGACCACTTGAGCATTGATGCTTTGTTACTACCACAGTAGCACAAAAACAGTAATGCTAATGCTAAGTAAGTAATGTAACGCAACATATACGTGTTGCTACATTCACAGGAATTATGGTGTGTGCACACCAAAAGCAAATTTAATTATTTGAGTGAGTAGATTACATACAAATTCAATGCAAAGATGCAAATTTGTGCCAAGTGACACGAATGACGTAAATTGTGTGACGTGTTCACCGCAAACGCATGACATTTACCTCAATAGTGTCTTCCACGCAAACTGAAAAATTTCAACTTGAGTAGAAAATGTGCATGATGTGATGTTGCGCAAGTCAATCAGCAAAGAGCTTATTTACACGTTCGGTTGTATCAGAAAATGGATTTTATTGTTTTTATGTTTTTATTCGCGACAAGAAAATCATCCCACAAGTAAACTAGAGCGAGTAACGTGATGCAAATTTTCGCTTTGCTTTTGGTGTCCACACATCGTTAGCATGAATGAAGCGTTTCTATGGTCAGTTTTCTCTTTCAGGTCAGCAACTGTAATAGCAGAAGAACCGTTTGAATCTTGCTAAGCATGTTAGCTATAGCTAGTTAAATTATTGCAATGTTTAATTTAAAGCTAACTAATAGCATAAATATTTGCAGGTATATAAAATATTTATAAATAATTTAAGGTATATAAATAATTGAATTATATCGACCACTTGAATGTTAAGGCTTGTTACCACCACAGTAACACAAAATTAGTAATTTAACAAAACATTAAGTATGTAACATAACTCAACAAAGTACGCGATGCTACATAAGTAAGCATTAGCATAAATTAGTTGCCTCTATGGTCAGTTTTCTCTAGGTCAGCGATTGTAATGGCAGAACAACTGTTTAAATCTTGCTGAAGAAATTTGTTAGCTAGTTAAATTGTTGAAGGGTTATGGCTAGAAGGGATACAGCTACAGCCAGAATAAACGCAAGTCTTGCACAATCTAGTTCACTAGTTGTCTTCTTCGCTGTCCGTTTCATTTTTTCCTGTCCATCTGGCGAGGTTTTAAGAGATTAGTTCAAAGGATTTTGCCACAACGTAGGCTGATTAGTTCGCTAGCTGTCTGTTCATTTAATTTATTTTTATTATCATTTTTCTTTCACTTTCTTCCTGTCCATCTGGCGAGATATTGCATCACTTCCAGCCATAGCTATATCCCTTCTAGCCACAACCATATTTGATCTTATAGCTAGCTACCTTAAGAGGTATCGTTAAGTATCACAACCCTTACGGAAATTAACCATGGTATTACTACAAATAAAACCAAGAAAACATGGCTACTACAGTAAACCATGATAACCACAAATTAACCATGGTTTTGCTACACTAACCATGGTTTAACCATGGTATTTGTGGTAAAATTTTGGTTATACAAATGGTAACCAATACGCCAAAAAAACAAAGTTACTACACTTTTACTATATTAAAACCATGGTTAATTTTCATAAGGGAGATATTTGAAAGTAATTCTATTGACAACAATTATTGAGGCTTGTAATTGCAACATTAACACAAAAACGATAATGCGAAAAACTAGAGTTAAGAATGTAACGTCTCGGTTACGTATGGTAACCCTCGTTCCCTGAGGGACCAGACATGGAGTTTCCAAAGGTCTGGACGCGGGTGCCAAACGGTGCCCCGTCTCTGAGTCAGTAGATCCTTCCTCAGAGGAATCGGCCAAGGAGGGGCTGTCGCGAGGAGCACTAGCTCGGGGAACCAGGTCCGAGTGGGCCAATATGGCGCCATTAGCAAGACTTGCTCCTCGTCCTCCGGATTTTGAACACTGTCTGTGCGAGAAGGCTCACTGGGGGAAATGCATACTTGCGTAGGCCCTGCGGCCAGCTGTGTGCCAGTGCATCTGTGCCGAGTGTTCCCTCGGTCAGGGAGTAGAACAACTGGCAGTGAGAGGTTTCTGGAGAAGCAAACAGGTCTACCTGAGCGGCTCCGAAACGTCTCCAAATCAGCTGGACCATCTGGGGATGGAGTCGCCATTCTCCCGGGAGCATTGCTCGAGACAGCTCGTCGGCTGTACGGTTGAGCAGACCCGGAATGTGAATGGCAAGAAGTGACCTCAGAACCTTCCAAGGAGGAGGTGGCGGGCAAGTTGCGACATGCGACGGGAGCGCAGACCACCTTGTCGGTTGATGTACGCAATGATCGCTGTGTTGTCCGTTCGGACCAGTACGTGCTTGCCTCGTACTTTTCTTTTCAAGGCAAGGGAGGCCAGGCGCACTGCTAACAACTCTAGGCAATTGATGTGCCAATGCAGCTGCGGGCCCGTCCAAACCCCTGAGACTGCATGCCCGTTGTACGTGGCACCCCACCCGGTGGTGGAGGCATCCGTGTAGACCACAGCATGCCTGGAGATCTGCTCTAGGGGCACCCCTGAGGACGATCCGTCGTCTTTATAAAGACGCACCCGTGGAGCTCTTTAAGAGAAATTTGCTCTTTAGGAAATGCTCTTTTAGTGCTGAGGCGCACAGGGGAGATGGCCGCTTGCAACACGACAGGGGGTGCGCCAGCCACTCGACCATCGGAGGAGCAAGAGGAGTGATGGTCCCCAGAGGGTTGGTTCCCTGCGGGGTTTGCCATCACTGTAACCCTCAAACCGCCCGCGCTACTGCTGGAAGTGGTTCTCGTCTGCCTTCTGCCAGAACGAGCCCCAGATCGCGGCATCGGCAACGGGACTCCGCCCCCTTGCGAGTAGCGGAGCCTGGTTTGCAGCTCCGAGATGGTCATCTTCCCGCAATGAGAACATGACTCATCCACTCATCCACCTAAGCGTGCTTGATGCCCAGACACGTGAGGCAGCGATCGTGACCATCACCCGGTGCCAGGTAACGACCGCACCCAGAAACGCACGGGTGAAACGGCATCCTTATAAGGACGATCCGTCGTCTTTATAAAGACGCACCCGTGTAGCTCTTTTAGAGAAATTTGCTCTTTAGGAAATGCTCTTTTAGTGCTGAGGCGCACAGGGGAGATGGCCGCTTGCAACACGGCAGGGGGTAGTGCAGCCTGAAGTGCGCAGCCCACTCGACACTGGAACGACCACCGCTGAAGCGCCGTCTTGCCAACACAGAAAGCTTCCGAGAGCGTGCTGAACTCGTAGTTCTCAAAATGAATATAGAGCAGAACGATGTTGTCGCACGGCTCCGAAGCGAAAAGCTGGTATGCATTGCACCTGCTGCCTTATTATACTCACGCTGTGATCAGCGGCAGCTGGATGCAATAATTGCATGCCAATGTGCATTGGCTCGTTTAGTTTACACTCGAAGTGGATTGGTCTATCGAAGCGATATCCCAATTCGTTGGTCACCGACGTGACTCGGAGTGACCGACTGAAAGGGAACTACATTACTGCATTAGAGAGCGTTAGCATAAATTAGCTGCTTCTATGGTCAGTTTTCTCTTTCAGGTCAGCTAATGTACTGTAATTGCAGAATAACAGTCTGAATCTTGTTGGCCAAGTTAGCTGACCAAATTAACAATTCTGTTGACCACTTAAGTATTTAGGCTTGTTACTGCCACAGTAACTCAAAAATGCTAATGCTAAACTCTAATGTTAAGTTCACAACAAAACTCAACAAGTACGCATTGACACATTAGCGAGCATTAACACAAACTGGCTGCTAAGGTCCGTTTTTTCTTTCAGGTCAAGTATGTCTGTCAGTTTTCTTCTACCTGCATTTTAGTTAATGCAAACAATGCTCAAAAACATAAGTTTGTAAAAATAATTCAAGTTAAATAAACAATTTTAAGTTGTACTTCACACTTAAAATGCAACACTGCTACATGTTGCCACATTAGCAAAGATTAGCACATTTAAATTGTAGGTACAAATTGCAACCTAACCTATTTTGTTTGGCTTGGTGTTTTTCTGAGATGTCAGGTGACCACTTTGTCATTCTGTGATTGGCTGATACAGTTAATGAGTTAATGAGAGATTGCACTGCTGACTTCAGCTGTAGTCCTCACCTAGCCGCCAGTCCACCCGGCCGCAGGTTGGAGACGCGTGGTTTGCCGTCCTTGTCTGTTCCGCCCGAGATGGTGAGACCTAAAGTGCTTCCTTCCTTCTTAATCAGCTCAACCAGTGTAACCCCACGCAGTTCTTCAGGCCATAACACAACAGACAAACACACACACACACACACACACACACACAAGAGACAGAAGTCGGCAGCATGTTATTATGACACTCACCTTCCATCACTCAGATGGTCTCAGATATTATATTGGATATGCAAATTAGCTGCACTTACTCCCATCTAACTAAAGATGAGAATTTTTACGAATTCTCTATATTACGAAAGCTGAAGATTGTTTTTAAATGCTACACCACATCTAATCTTCAATTCATGCTGTGATTATATGAATTCTTAAACATAAAATTCAAACCAAGAGGCACATGAAAGAAAACATCTATCACACACCAGTAGTGCAGCAGAAATTGTGATGCAACACTTTCTTCAGGAATCCAGCTGTGTCACGAAATCTCTCACAGAGTCTAATCTAATCACACCAATGTCTGTGTGGGTTTAAATGTGAACAGCTCGGAACTAAAATGTTTTCCACAAGTAAAAATGTAATGGACCGAACGCACACAATCAGCTCTGTCTTTTCAAACTATTAAAATGATTCCCATACAATCAATTCTGAAAATGCCTTATCATATCATATCATATCATATCATATCATATCATATTATATATTAAAACAGAAACTCTTGTATGTTTGTTTATATAAATGCTCTGGCTAAATTAATTTAAAAATGGCAAAATATGCAGATAACATCTTCACTTAATTTAAGTTTGGGGTAAGTCATTTTTTTTAAAGAAAATTAATACTTTTATTCAGCAAGGATACATTAAATTGATCAAAAATTAATAATGTTTCAAAATATTTATATTTCAAATAAATGCTGTTATTTTAAAGTTTTTATCCATTTTATTTTAATATTTCACAATATTACTGTTTTTTTTACTGTATTTTTGAGGAAATTAATGCAGCTTTGGTGAGCATAAGAGATTACTTTCTCCAAACTTTTGAATAAGTATAAGTTATACTCATTTAGTATATAAATGAAATGTATTACATATACCTACACATATCAAAACACAAATATAAAGTTAAAAATATACACATAGCATTAGTTTTGTATTAAGAAGATTCATGCATCTAATAAGCTGCAGTAGGTTTCGTAAAAAAAAAAAAAAATAGTTTAATGAAATTAAAACACAAGCCAAATGTAAAATAACCTTTGAAAATGTCTGTTCTGCTTTAAGACGTCGTTTTGAAACTTTTCCAAAGTCACACTTTGAGTTGGCTCAGCTAATCCAATTAGTTTTAAAGAAGAAAGAGGTCTTGGATCAGCAAGCGCTGCCAGCTAGCAGAATGACTCAGACAGACACTTCTCGAGAACCGCAGGAAACATCTGGATAAAGCTTTAACAACACCCCTCAAACCCCCAGCGTTCTCCATCTCAAACAGCCATACAAACCAATGTGGCAAGAAGAGCTCAAACATCCCCAATGGGGAAAGACAGACATGATCCCCCAGATCAAAAGATGCTGAAGGAGCGGAGCTGGGAGGATTTGTGTGGGCACAAACAGACGGCATAGAAAGAGAGTCAGCGTACCTGGGATGCTTTGTCTTCTGGATGTGAGCGAGTTGTCTGGCCCCGTCGAGTCCTTGTTCCCCTTAGAGTATGGCCCATCATCTGCAGGACAAGAGAAACAATAAAAAGACCTTAGAGAAAGCAGTCCACCTTAAATGCGACTGTAAAAAATGACGTCAGTTGTAGTCAATTTATGTGCTTGCATATAAAACACTACTGGTGAGTGAATCCCACAAAACCTGTCAAGAGTGTGCCTGGGTTATATTTCACACACACACACACACACACACACACACAAATAAATACAAAATAAATAAACAAACAAACAAACAAAACATTTTATTTCTTGAAGGATGTTTATTTTTGGAACCATTATTTTTGCATTGTGAAAATCAATATTATACACATCTACACCCTATAATTTTTACTACGTTAATAGAAAAACACATCAATAACTATTTTAATAAACAAATAAATAATTGCATTGTCATTGTAAAATATCATTTAAAAATGTAAAGTGTGTATATCATGTTAGTATTTTTTAACTGGCTTTAATATTTGCGAATTTAAATAAAAATTGCACCATGATACAAAAACTAAACTAAACATAACTAAACTAAAAAAAATCACTAAAAATTACAATAAAAATGACTATTACTGTGAAATACTAATATAATGCAATTTAAATTAATAAGGAGAATGTGCTGATATATTTCATTATTATTATTATTATTATTATTATTATTATTAAAACGCCATAAAATAACATCTAAACTATAAATAAACTATTAAACTTACATACAATGTAATAATAAAAAATATACAATATATAGCGTTACAGGGCAATACATTGTATCAGATAGATAGATAGATAGATAGATTATCATATGTTAATCATAAAAATCATAACATATATTAGCACATTCCCCTTATTTATTTTGTATTATATTAGATCTTTCTTTCTATCTCTATATATCATTAAATAACGAAAATATAGCAAAAACACATTTATTCATATTAAATAGATTGTGTTACACTTCTTTCACCTCTGTATTCATAGACAGATGAACTGTCTCTTTGAGTGCAGTGAGTATTAGCATCCAGAGACATGCTAATGAGGATTTGTCATCTATTGACAGCAATAATCACAGAAACACAATCATTCTTTATAGAAAACATTTGTGTGACAAACGTCTTTTGGATTGTTTTCTGTCAAGCCGGATGCCTGAGTGCACATGCTTCATTTGGAGTGGATAAAATATTAATGAGCAACATAGTTTTCATTTCTTCAAAGTTTCTACATAAATTAGAATTTTCCCCTTGTGCACTGGGCTCATCAGCACTAAGCGTCTCTGGAGCTTCCTTTCGCTTGGCACAACTCACTTCATCTTTTCATGCCAGCAGGACAAACACTATTAATGTATTCAGCCAAAAGAAGGTAAGACCTGTTGCTGCCATTGTTATGATACTAATAAGCTCATAAACTTTCGCTTGTGTTTCCTTTAAATCAAAGAAAAAATTATTTAAGGAATACTTCATCTAAAAATAAAACGTCTGCCAGTTTACTCTCCCTCATATGTCAATCCAAACCTGTATAACTTTACTTTTCTGTTTTATTTATAAGGGGGAGACATAATAGTTTAGTAATATAGAGTTCTTTACAGTGTGCAGGGAACAGCAATGCAAAAAGTATGATATGAAAAAAAAACATACAATCAATTAACTTTTAATATCAATACATTTCAGACATTACAAAGAATTAATATCTGAATTTATGATTTATAAAAATGGTTTTAACCACTATTTTTGACTGCCCCTCCCCCACACATGTGGGATGTTTGCGATTACACATTTTTTTAACGATAATATCTTGGTCTAAACCTAAAGTAATCTTGAAACTAATTATATATCATTTGAAAGGTTTCAGACTCTAGTTTTCATATTAGGTGACTGTTTTTCAAAGAAATTACAGACCTATAAATAGCGATAGATTCTGTTTTAGAGATTGAATTCAAATCAAATATTAAAGTTGCTGCCCAAACTATTTCTGAACAGGATGTCTACTTCATAAATATTTAAAAAATCACTTGAACAACACTTGAACAATAAATGGAAATCAAGAGTCCCTGTATATCATCTAGTGAAAAAGTTTAGTACTGCATCCACAAAATTTTACTTAAAGGGCACCTGTTATGCCCCTATATTACAATATGTAATATAATTTTTAGGTGTCCCCAGAATGTGTCTGTGAAGTTTCAGCTCAAAATACTCCACAGATCATTTATTATATCATTTTGAAAAAGCCTATTTTGAGTGGAAGCAGAAACACGATGTTTTCGTGCATGTCTCTTTAAATGCAGATGAGCTGCTGCTCCCCGCCCACTTTTCCAGAATAAAGCTGTGCCATTACAGCTCGTAACTGCTAAAAAAACATCTGGTTTGGTTCTGATTATCATGTTTATTGCGCTGAAATCATGTGTTTTAAACCATATTAGTTTAAACTTCTGATAGACAGTTTTCTGAGCGCAAACATCCATCGCACGCGTATAGAAAGTGGCTGCACACGGCACGTGAGTACTAAGTTCTCTTTCACACACGAGTTTATGTTAAAAACACAAAGGAGTTACAAAAACACGGTCGGTTATGTTTGTGAAGGTAAACATTTGGGAAATAAATCACATGTTTATATTAGATCAGATCTGTGTATTAAGTGACATCAGCATAATATACAGTACCTATACTGCTGTCTATGCTATTAATATGACCCAACGAATAAAATAAAAGCAGTGAATCACTTACTGCTCTGGACTGAATAACGTCTATAGCCTTAATAAGAAGACATTTCTTACTTGAATGCTGCTTTTAAATGCTCTAGCGTGAAGATAAACATGGCGGACTGTGTGCGGCTCACTCAGGGCGGTGTCTTGGCTAGCTTATGGCAGTGTCAATCAACAATCGTGGGTGGGGCTTGTAAATTGTGATGTCACACTTTACGGATTCTGTGATTGGCTTGCTCTGAGACGCTGCTATTGATATATGGAGATTAAAAAAAAGGAGCGGGTGGATTTTTATCATTATAGGGTGGTTGTGTACACACACTGCCAACACACATTTTTGTCCAAACAACATGTGAAAGAGAATTTTGCATAATAGGTGCCCTTTAAAAGCTATTTTTTTGAGATATCAACCTAACATTTGGCACAAAACTTGTTCAGATGATTGGCTTTGATTTTCTTGAAGATTTGGAGGTAAACATGTTTTGTAAAATTTATATTTTATATAAAATATAAAAAACAAAACAAACAAACAAAAAACACAAAACAAATAACAAAAAAAACCACACAAAACAACAACAAACAAACAAAACAAAAAAAAACAAAACAGAACCTAAACAAACAAAACAAAACACATAAAAAACACACAGCACCCCACACAGAACAATGACAAAAAACACACATAAAACGAGAAGACAAAAAACAAAACAGAAACTAAACAAACAAAACAAAACACACAACACCCCACACAGAACAACAACAAAAAACACACATAAAACGAGAAGACAAAAAAACAAAACAGAAACAAAACACACAAAAAACACACAACACCCCACACAGAACAACAACAAAAACACATAAAACGAGAAGACAAAAAACAAAACAGAAACTAAACAAACAAAACAAAACACACAAAAAACACACAGCACCCCACACAGAACAACGACAAAAAACACACATAAAACGAGAAGACAAAAAACAAAACAGAAACTAAACAAACAAAACAAAACACACAAAAAACACACAACACCCCACACAGAACAACTACAAAAAACACACATAAAACGAGAAGACAAAAAAACAAAACAGAAACAAAACACACAAAAAACACACAACACCCCACACAGAACAACAACAAAAAACACACATAAAACGAGAAGACAAAAAACAAAACAGAAATGAAACAAGCAAACAAACAAACAAAACACAAAATGGACCAAAAACACAACAGAAAAAAAAATGAAATGAAACAAAACTAAACACTCAAAAAGGAAAAAAAACAACAACAACACAAAATGAAAAAAAAAACAATACAAAAATAAAACAAATAAACATAAGCAAATATATAACATAACATAACATAACACAATATAATATAATATAATATAATATAAAACAAAACTAAACACCCAAAAAGGAAAAAAAACAACAACAACACAAAATGAAAAAAAAAACAATACAAAAATAAAACAAATAAAATAAACATAAGCAAATATATAACATAACATAACACAATATAATATAATATAATATAATATAATATAATATAATATAATATAATATAATATAATATAATACAACATGTTTAGCAGAATGTCCAAGATGCTCTTTTCCAAATAAAGAAAGTAGACAACAACTGGGGCTGTCAAGCTCCAGTATTATACATACTGCATAGCCTACATGCTGTATTATATATACAGACTTAAAATATTGCACAATTCACTAGATTTAGAACTTTGAACATATTTTTAATATATGGAAAAGAGCAACTTGAACAATCTACTAAACATCTTCTTTTGTGATCCAATGAAGAAAGTAAGTATTGGAAAGGTCTGGAATGATAAGAGGATGAGCCAGTGATGATAAAACTTTCATTTTGAGGTGAAATATTGAATATTGCACAAACAGAAACGCTCACAAGCGCATTACGATGAAGGGAACATGCAGTGAATGAAGGATCTGGCAGCAGGAAAGGGTGATGGCTATAAGATACCATCACCTGACTGAGGTTATGCTGCGTTAGGCGGTAAGGAGATAAGAGTCTTCCAGCAGCAGTTACAAGGATATTTTCTTATTACTTGATAGCAGATACGAGCTTGCCCATAATACTGTACATAATGCAAGCTGATATGAAAGACAGAAACTTACTGTCTACTTTTCAACTGAACCTGATACTGATTTAACTACAACCTTACTTGTATCATATTTTCTTCAAATTGAAAATAGTATTAAAAAGAAAAGCAACCTATTTAGTAAACCCTTTACGATATCAGCTTGTTACCATGTTAAAATATAGATGTTTACTTTTTCTGAATAATTTATGAATGT